GGCCTATGGTGTATATTTGAATAAAGTCTACATTTGTACCCACTGTGCCGTTTCGTACCTTTTCATTTGATCACCCCTTGTATTAATATCATTACAAATTCCTTTTGTAATAATTGTGACTATTTTATTTTATACTATTAAATATAAAATAATTTAAAGCAGCTCAATTGTAACTGGAAATGCCTAAACATAAATGCATACAAACATAGATACGTTTTTGGGGAATCTAGTTGAATATGCTATTTATTTAGCATCTCCCCTGATACTACCACAAAGTTATTCACAAGTTGTTAATTATTTTTTAGAGCTGTTTCAGTACCTCTCTCATACGTAAGCTGTCTAAAAAGTTTCCGAACTAACAAAGAAAAAAGATATTTTTTCTCCAAAATTATCTTTATTTTCTGATATAGTTTCCTCATAAGTCCTGTACTTCACATTTTTCAGCAGCGAAAACTTCTGGAATTACATATGGACGCTAGTAGTCATGGTTTCGATGCAGTGTTGTTTCAATGCTCAGATGATGGACAGCTGTATACAATCCATCACATGAGTAAGAAAACATCACCTCAACAAGAAAAATGTCAAGTTATAAACTCGAAATGCTAGAGATCGTTGAAACCTTGAAAAAATTTCAAAGTACACTTAGGCACAAAAATCAAAATAGTCACAGAATGCGATGCATTTCAGAAGACAATGCAGAAAAAAGATCTGACACCAAAGTTAGCTAGATGGGCACTACTACACGAAAAGTTCAAATATGAAGTTATCCACAGACCCAATCAACAGATGAGACATGTCGACACATTAAGTAGGCATACTGTGTGCATGGTCGCTCGTTCGCAAAGTGAAATCCCTACCAAGATCGCAACAGGCTGATGAACGTCTTCAATTATTGAAAACTCTGGTCAAGAAAGGACTTAGAGATGACAATCTGCTAAAAGATAATGAGTTGAATCTGCAGGAAAGAGGTCCAGAACTCATCGTTGTACTGGAAGTGATGAAATTCGAGATTATTCATGGCATACATAACAAAGGACACTTTGCTGTACAGAAGACAGAAGATGTGTTGAAAAGAGATTTTCATATTTCGAATGCTACAAAGAAAATAGATTATGTTATAATGAACTGTGTCGAATGCATCCTCTGTAATAAAAAGCGAGGCAAAGCGGAAGGTCTATTGAACCCAATCCTGAAGGACAATATTCCTTTAGCACTTACCACATCGATTTCATAGGATCCCTGCCTTCTACAGATAAGAGATGCGACATATCTTTACAGTGGTAGATGCTTTTACAAAATTCATCTGGTTTTACCCAGTCAAGACAACATCAACGGCAGAAGCTGTACAGAAGCTAAAAATCCAAAAAACTGTCCTTGGAAATCCTTCGAGAATTATCTCTGACAAAGGATCTGCTATCACTTCAAAGGACTTTGAAGATTACTGTAAAGATGAAGGGATTCAGCACATACAAATCACAATAGGCATTCCAAGAGCCAATGGCCAGATTGAAAGAATTCATGGAACCCTTATCCTAGTGCTTGCAAAACTGTCAGTAGATGATCCTGCCATATGGTTTAAATTTGTTCCTGACGTCCAAAGAATCATCAACAACACTGTCAGTGGATCCACAAAATTCATTCTTTTCGAGCTGATGACAGGCGTGAAAATGAGAAATAAGGCAGACCAAAGAATTAAAGAAATCTTTGATGAAGAATTCCTGAACTCCACAATCCAGGAGAAGGAGTCTCTTTGTGAAGAGGCCAAAGCGAATATCTTAAAACTGCAAGAGGAGAACCAACGACAATACAATCGACGCCGTAGAACTGCTCCACTCTACACAGTCAACGACCTAGTAGCCATTAAAAGAACCCAGTTAGGAGGAGGTTTCAAGCTAAGACCTACATTCTTAGGACCTTATAAAGTGGTCAAGATTTAAGCCACATGATCGCTACAATGTAGCATAAGTAGCATCTCATGAAGGACCTGAAGCAACTTCCACTTCGGCAGACCACATGAAGTTTTGGTCCAATGGAATTGCAACCTGAGATCATTCTTTTGCAAACTATTTTTCAAATATTGCTTTTTCTTTTTTTGTATTTTGACAGATGTATTCCAGTGTTTGAAGCTCCTCACCTGTCGATGGCCGAGCGTTGTGGGAATTGTGCCTCAACGAAGCACCAGATGTCGCTATCTATAACTACGGTAGGAACTCTCCAGGTAAACACATCTTTATTCGGTTCGGTAAGTCTGACACAAGCGGTCTAACAAAACGCTTGTGAAGGAGCTATAACTAGATGCTTACTGGTTGCACATAGGTACAATTCTTATACTGGAAGTGTAGTGATTCCTCTCCTAAACATATTTAGTCCATCTGTATATACTCATCCCATTTTATCTTTTCTTCTATGAACCAGGAATAAAACCTGATACTTTGAACAGTGGGTGTGATCTCTGTTTAATGATAAGATGTTACCCCCACATATTTACTATTATGCATTTTTTATTCAGCAAACTTCAGTTTAATTACATTCATATTATGTATTTGGAATACTTTAAAAGATAAATAGGAATTTTTATTTTATTCAGTGCATTTTTTCTAAATATAATGAGAAAGTATAATACAGTAAAAATGTACAGCATAAATACAGTTTCATAATGTATTCAAAACTGTTAGAAAAGTAATAATATCTAAACACTCAAAACAGAAAATATTGCACAGCATCGATGAAAAGTGTTTTCATCAAGTTATCATTTCATTTTTGCACGTTGCAGATAAGTAAATACAGCTACTTCTAATCTTTTATTACTGCCAGTACTACACACCATTTTCTAACCTATGTTGAGAGGACACAAATGAAAAAAAAAATAATAATAAGTAATGTAATGCAACTGAAACTCTAATGAATTATTTTTTTAAAAGCAATTTTCATGGATGTATAAATAGCACTGAAATGACAGTTACATTCACATAAATTCTGTCATGTAAGTACACCAAGCACTAATTTGTTGTTGCAGCAGTCTCTTATGAAAACTGCGTAGATCAGACACATCATGCTTTACAAGACTAGAAAAAGAAATAGAGCAAAAATGCTATAAAGAATGCACAGGAGGTACCTGGCACAAGTATTTTGAATATCTGCAAGTGCCAATGATGGATTTGTAAATTTTGACAAGGCAACCTTAGCTTGCTGACAGAGAAAGTTAAGTCATCACTATCAAGAACTGTTCATCATGATTTGAAAGAAATTGTAGTAGTGTCTAAGCTTGACTTTGCTCTTCATTCACATAAAAAATTCTCCTCCTTTTTTAATCATCCAGTGACTAATGATGAGATATGATTGATGGTTTGAAACTTGCAAAACTTCACTAATGGAAAAGAATACCGTTCACACGAGACACTTGAAACAGACCTGTCCAGTTTTTTGTCTAAGAAGCCGACTCATTTCTTGAAGAATACCATAAAAAACCTATTTTAGCATTGGAAGAATGTTACTGATTCAGATGGGGAATATATAGCTAATTACATTTTTATCTTGCTTGTTTCTTTATGTCTTCAAAATCTACTTCAAAAAACAACATTACTTATAGGATGATGATCTGATCTAAGTATAGAAATAATGGATTGCTTTTGCGGCAGTTCTCAGCAAATCTAGCAAACTTATGATACAAAATACATTAAAAATTAGCACACGATATATAAACATCATTCAAAGAAATTTCAATGGAAAAATGTTATCAAACAATGATTTAATGTGTTAATAATTATCGTTACCAAAAAAATAATTTTTATTTTCATTTTAACTGGTTTGAAGTTGATACTGAAATGAAAAAGAAACTACTCTCTACCTTATTTTGGAGGGAAGAAGAATATTTATAAGAGAAGAAAAGAAATTAAAAAAATGTCATCTTACTAGTAGAATCTGCAACAATTAATAAGATTGCCAGACATTTACAATGAAGAATTAAGGATGGTATGTTTAGTGATTTATTTGTAGGACTGGCTAATATATTAGTATCATTAATCATACTAAATTATCTGCATTTTTTTTCAACTATCTTTTACACAGTTTCAGAATAACTAAAATACAGCAATGATTTTTAGCTATACCATATAAATCAGGTTTAGGTCTTATTTGTCGATCAAGGTATGTTGCTCGTCCAGGTAATGGAACCATTGACCATAACACCCTCTGGACAACTTGGTCTGTGTCAACATCAAAGAAACTCTGGTAATAAGAAAACTTCCAAAATGATGACCCATCTTTCTTTTCTGTACCTAAAAGCTACAATAAAAAGATAATTTAAAAAAAAAAAAAAAAAGGAAAAAAACACACAAGTAAAGAAAAAATGGACTATATTTTTCAACAAAATTGAGGGATAATAAATTTGGGGAGATTCTGATGGTAATAGCTCTGAGCAGCAGAATTGGTGATAATCAGAAATTTTGCAGAATTTTACATAGTTTTTATATTAGTATGATAACTGCTAATATTATTTAATAACCTGACAATAGGCAGATTCTCATCTGGAGAGAACCTGGCATTTTTGCATGAAAGTGTCCAGTTTGGCAGAGGTGAAGCAATGGTCTAGGGTGGTATTTCTATCAATGCCTGCATTGACCTACATTATCAGGAATGGAGCACTAATGGCTCAGCAATATAGAGATGAGTTCCTCAGACGACCTATTGTGGTCCTTTACGCTGCAGCAATCAGGGATGAATTAATTCTTATGGATGATAATGCCAGGCCACATCATGTTCAGCTAGTGAACAATTTCCTTTTCGATGAAAGAATCCTTCAAATGGATTGGCCAGCATGTTCCTCAATATGAATCCAACAGAACATGTTTGGAATGTTCTAGGGAGAGAGGTTGCTAGTCACTTATTATCCTCAGAAACAACAGCAGCTTGAAAGTTCTTTTCTTTAGCAGTGGAAGAGTACCCCAGTCCCTCATTGATTTCACGCCTTGTAGGTAGGTGACATTGCTTTCAATCACGGGAAATCATACCCATTATTGAAACTTATCTGTATCTGCGAAATCTCAGTTTTTGTTTGTTTTTATAATATGTACAAATTGTGCATTTTTTGTTTACCAACAAATATCATCAATAAAATTTAATTATTCCTTGTTAGTTTATTCCTTTTATTTTCTCATATCTTACAACACCAATGCATCATATATCAGTCACCAAATTTTCTTATCCACAGTTTATATCTAAAATCATACTATCCTCTAGTTGTTTTGAGCAGTGTATTTCAGTATAAGCATTTCCCAATTAATTAAACTTCAGAAAAGAATTAAAATTGCTTTTCCTAGTTACCATTGTTAATATAGTTCTTGCTAAGTGATGAAATGACTCATTTTTATTTTAATATATTACAATGGAGGAGGAAATCATCATATTCTGTATATTTTAAACACACAATATTTATAATAAGTTTCATTAAATTTAATGGTCTTTTCATTCAGACTTGAATAACATGCTTAGAATACATTTCAGTGTTTGAAATATATATATATATATTTCATAATTGAAACTACATTAATTAAACCACTGCTTTTATTTATGCATTTTAAAGCTGTTAATAAATACATTCAAAAGTTGGTTAATTTATTTGAGCTGATCCAAGATACTGATCAATATTAAAAATCCTGTGATTGTTGACCTTGAAAACCTTCAAAACAGCTTTTGTCAACTCATTGTTTTGAATGTGGCAATACAGACTCTCTAAAGTGGTGTTACTGATTGTTAAGTACTGCATTTTATATTACATGCCTAATATTTTAATGATTACAATATAATTTATTACTGTTGTGATGTAACTAACTTATTTAAAGAATTACTACATTCAACTCCACACATCATTAAACATTCATACAATAATTTCTAGCAAAACAATCACATAAAAATTTAATAAATTAAGTTAAATAAATATAATTGATAATGATCATTACATACTTCTATATTTTTAAATTACAAGTATGCTATACATAATGATTTCAATTTTATTGTAATTAATTAATCTTTTTAAATAATAAACAAGAACTTTACAAAAAAGTCATATATTTTTATTTATATTAATTTCATATTTAGCAAAATAAATGGTGTTGTGTTGCAAATTTATTTTGTAGATTTTTTTTTTTTTTAATTTTAATTGAAATTTCTTATTGACTAGTTGTAGTGAGATTTTTTTGGGAGGTGTAGTTAAAAATTACTTTCAGTTCTTATTGTTAGCACTCTCATGACTAAAGTTAGGATAGAACACGGTGCTTTTTCTAAATATTTATACAGGAAGACGAAAGTCAAATTATCGGGTTTTAACAAAAGTTTCCTGCCACTGTAAATATTGTCTGCACAAACAGATCACGTTGGGGTGTTTAATGATAGTTTGTCAAACAATTTTTGGCATTTTAAAAAAGGAGACTTACTTTAGAATACTTTTTTGTGAAATTTGTAAAAAAATATTATCATTCAGTACAAGGTGTCTTAAATAGAATCATCATGCTACCAGATTAAAACTATCATTTACTTCCAGTTCTGTTGCAAAAATTCAGCTACAGAATGTCACCAAATTATGTGTACAGCTTTAGGTACTATGCTGTATCATATGACACTGTGAGGGTCTGGTATTGAAAGTTCAAAAACAAGGACTGTGACATTCAAGAAGCAGAGCACTCTAGCCAACTTGCTGATGTTGATGAGGCCCATCTGCGAACACTTGTGGAAAAAGATCAGTATGCAACCACTCGAGAGTTTGCAAAGAAGTCAGATGTTAGTGCCATGTCCATTAGGCGTGGTATGCATTACATAAACTTGATGTTCAAGTTCAATCACTGGGTGCCACATGAGCTGACTCAAGCAGATAAGGACAAACATGTTCGAGCCTGCACTAATCTGCTCGAATATCAATGCACGGACAAAATTCTGGACCGGATCGTCACTTCTGAATGAAAAGTGGATTTACTTCAACAACACAGGCCATAAAAAGGCTTAGTCTGAACCCGGTGAGCACATTGGCAGCATCACAAAATGCAATTTGACCAAAATGATCATGCTTTATAGTATCTGGTGGGGTTGTCGTGATGAGTTTCTGGGAAAAGGTAAACCCTAGACAGTAAGGTATACAGGGAGATGCTAGTCCGTGTTGACGTTAGTATCGAGGAAAAACTTTGAACCAAATTCCGGCACAAAAAGGTAATTTTCCATCAAGATAATGCAAGATCACATGCGTCTGCATTCACCGGCTAGACTCTATACGGACTCGAATGAGACCTTTTGTCACACCCAAACCTTTTGTCAAGCCCCGATATCGTTCCTTCGGACTTCTATTTTTTTTTACACCTACAGCTACATCTTGCAGGTACTATCTTCCATTCTGCACAGGATGTTCAAAATGTGGTTGGTCTGAGTAAAGAGTAGCAGCCGTCAGGTTTTTGGGCCAAAGGGTTTGAAAAACTACCAAAATTTTGGCAGAAAATCACAGATGTGGATGGTGATTACTACCTGCAGTAAAGATACAACTTTCATGATTTTTTTCCCCTAACTTTATTGAGAAAATTTCCCTTACAACCAAATAACTGGTCAGTGTTCTCTAAAAGGAATTTCTTAGTGAAGCTGTAAATGGGATTAACAAGGAGAAAGGAGCAAAGTAAATTTATCATTGCTTGGCTTTTGTTTAACTAGAAAGAGAAGTTTCAAGAGCCACAGGCAGTTTTTGTTAGAAGGTGTGAGAAAAATAATTCACATTTTTTGCTTTGCTTTATGAAAGTTGCATATAAATGGTTTTTATCAGACGGAAGGGCAGCGAAGGTTCTTCTGGGCTGCAATTAAATATGTGGAGTAGTTTTTCTTCATTGTGTAAAGCTTCCTTGTTTTCAGAAGACAGCAGGGATTTTGAATCATTTATCACGCATTGTTGTGTCATTGATGGGGGTCATGATGACAGACTCTGTTGACAGCAGTGGTTGGTTTGAGGGAAGAAGAGAAGGAGAAAATTCATCTTGCATTGGTCAAGCATAATTTTAAATTTTATCTTCCAGCCTATAATATTTACTTGTGCATGGAAATGAAGATTTGAGCTTCCAGGAGAGTATAAATTCAGTTTTTGCTAAAATTAGAGAGGCAAGAAAAGAGAGGAGTGAGGCTTCCCATGGCCAAGCAGCCTGGTCGGCCCTAAGACTTTTATTTTCCCAGTGGTAAGAGTGCAGAAAATCAGAGGGTTCCTTCAGTACTTTGTACTTGCCATCAGTGCATGAGTTCAAGGAGGCACATCAGCTCACTAGAATTTCAGCTTGATTCCCAATATTTGAGTACAAAGTGATATAATTACTGTGATCTTATGTGTAGTTTAAATGAAAAAACAATGGGAGATCTAACTCTTCATTGCATCATTGTGTCCAGCAATGGAAGTTCTTAATGGAAGAAGAAAATATAGTAAATGGAGAAAAGGTACAAATATATATATTTTTTTAATTAAAATTATTCATAGTAATAATCTTGCTACTTAAATACCATGTCTTGCATTATACCTTGCTTTAAATGGGGCCAGATGTTTAAAGTATCTTAACAAACAAAACAGTTAAACCCTCTAATAATAATCTCTTACATCTGTTCTTAAATTGTTGCAACTTACATAACAATTATTTTGTTCTGTTCAGTATTTTTCTGTTACTTATTACCATAACATATTAATCCCAGGAATAATTGTTAGATTAAGTACATTAGAATGGAAGGTAGCTAGAAACAGTCTAGATGACCAGATGCAAATTGCGAAGATACTCACTGGTTTAAACCAGAAGTGATCCAAGAAGCTCTGCAATCAATACTAAGTAACAAAATTTGTTATTCTTATTAACCACAAATATATTAGCGTGCATGCATTTTCATAGTTTTGACATTTTCAGGTCTTATTAATATCAATACCTTTAAAAATTAACTTTGGCGAAGTTAATGCTTTGCATGAACCCCTGAAGTAGAATATGCTAAAATGTGCACCTTATATTGCAGGCTTTACTGCAAAAGATTCAAACACGAAAATTTCCTTTCCTTCGCAGAAGTGTTATTCCAGAAAATCTATTGAAAAGAATTTATCCTAAACTAACATACAGCTTTTATGATTTACTTTAATTTCTGAACGTGTATGTTTTACTGAATTTTTTTCACTTATATACATAAAATTAAAAGCATATAATACACATTATAAATGTAGCTTGTGAATAAGTAAATTTATATCTACATACATTCTTCTTGACTTGTAAATTAATTCTAAGTCTTAAAATTTGAAAACGTAAATATTTTATTAAAACTACATTTTCAGTGACATTTTGAATTTTTCATATATGTAAACTTAAATTTTATATTATTCTATCGATTCACAAAAATAGTTGGGAGAGGAAGCAAGTACTGAATCTTATTTCATAGATTCCAGTTTAATACGTGAAAGCAGATATAAACTCGTATCTTAGATGACAGCATGCAGTCAAAAATTAAAAATTGACTGTTCTATAAATATAAAGCATATATTCATACCTACATGAACTAAATACAAAACTGAAATCGGAGATCATGGATTGGTGATACTTCCTATTTACATATTGGTACATGCACTGGGAATTATTATATATAATTAACTGGACAAGATATATTTGTGTGTGCTGATAATATTTCTTATTCGGAGGGATAAGAATTTAGACTGAAGTATAGTGAAAAAAGCGATACATACATAAGGCATTATACTACTTGGTAACAACCTGCATTCCAGGTATACTCTTGGATACAATTTGGCAAATTATAATTGCTTAATTTGAAAGCAGATATATTAATCATATGATACATTATATATATATATATATATATTTAAATCTCTCTCTCTTCTGTCTTTTTAAAAGTAATTATATATCACTAAATTTAATTTTTACCCTTACTGTTACTTTCAGATAACCTGGAATCTAGAACTATTTCATTAACATACAAACTGCATTACATAGATTTACTCCTGAAAAATAAACAGCCGGAGAAAAAAAACTTAGTTTGGAAATATTATATATCTAAGGAAATAAATTATATACATATATATAGAGAGAGAGACTGTTTTTCAGACATTTTTATTAAATAGTATTTTCTTCATTGTTTGGTTCAGTTATAGTAGTATATTTTTAAATTCTTAATGGGTGTAATAGTAACAAATGTATACATCATCAGTTTCAGCATCTTGATCTGGACTAGGAGTAAAACTAGTATAGCCTCCACCCAAATTTGAAGGACTGCCACCAGGACTGTTTCCTGCTAAAGTTAAATCTAAAAGGAAAGTGCAAAAATGGATTTACTATAAAGGCAGAAACATAATCTTTAAAAAAAAAAAAAAAAAAAAGTTTAATAAGTAAATAAAATAAACCAGATTTTTTTTTTTTTTTTTTTTTTTTCATTCAGTAACATTTCGACAAGTTTAGAATTTATCTTTCAGAAATTAATAAAATCAAAAAAGGCATCTGAAAAACTTATTCAACAAGATATTTACTGATGTACCTTTTCAAACCACTTGGATTACCTTTGGTATGCATAGAAATTAATTACTAGTATTAATTTTATCTTATATTTTATTCATATGTACTTCTTTGCACATCAAGGGCAAAGTAGATAAGACCAATTACAACTGGTAATTCAACTTGGGTACAAATTCCAGCAAATGGTTTTTGTTGTAGGGTGTTTCTTATTTTTTTCCATGTGCAATGTGAATGTTAACCAGTTTCCCCTAAAAGGGCCCTTGAAAATGGCATCACTCTCCATAAACAGATAAGCATTATGGTTTTGCTACAACAAATAAAGAACGATCTTCTACATAATTTAAATATTTTATTTATTTATTTTTTTTTTTTCCAAAAGGAACTCATTTGCAGACAGTTAAACTTTCCATGTTTTGTCACAGTAATGCAAACTCATGTTAACTGTTTAAAGATATGAAACAATGAAGATATTTTTTGCAAAGGCAGAAAAACATATAATTAAATATTTATAACTTAATATGGTTGGGACATTTTTTAGAATAATCTCATCTTGAGTAATCATAATTGAATGTCAAAGTTATCACATGGAGTTAAAATGAAGGTAAAATATTCTAGGATGACATGCTGAAATGTTTAAATACAAGTAAAAGTAAAAGCAGCAGCTTTTGCAGATAACCTACTTGTTCTCTCAGCTAGAGCTTGAATTCTACCAGACTTGTTTTTACATTCTAAGCTTTTTGCTTACCTTTCCTCAAAATCCTTTGCATGTAACCTATTATTAACTTTGCTTTGCAATATAATATTTATCTTATATTTAGTACCATGCTTTGATTTTCGAATAATCTTGGATCATATGTTCTTAAATGGGTTTTGGAACTCTTTGGGGTTATGGAAGAAAAAAATGCTAGACCTTTTTCTTTTCTTTATTTTTCACCAAGAGGAAAATAATTTTATTTTCGTTTCCCAAATAAATTATTTGATTCCTTTTTGATCTCCTTCCCATTTTTGTTATGTTCTTTACATTCATCCCTTTTTTTTAAACATTAAATTTGATCATTAATTAAAACCTTTTATTGTTTACTTTTTTACCATGTTTTTAACATTCTATTAAAATTAAGTCCTTTGCTGTAACCTTATATGAAATCAAAATCTTAAGTTTGCATGACAGTATTCTATCTAACTTGTATTTATGCTTTTTAATAATAATAATAATAATAATATATATATATATATATACAGTAAAATTCTGATAATTTACGCATCTTGGAATCAACAGTTGTGTGGATAAGATGAGTAAAAATAGACCTTGGATAGAAGACTATTATGCAAGTGGAAGATTTTCTTTTCAGTTAGGTTTAAAGTAAATGATTTATTTTCGATTAAAAATACTCAAGATGAAATTATTTTGAAAAAATTCTAAACCATAATTGAATTATAAATATATGTTTTTCTGTCTTTGTCATGCCTTCCCAGTTTTGTTTACATGTTACCCTTTTTAACATTTGCATTAAATTTGGATATAATTTTACATATAAACAATTAAACAACTCATACATTAAGAAGTATTTCATCAGAATTTATTGAATGCAAAATTACTATGCTTTTCAATAAATTTACAAAGAAAATAATATCAGTACAAAGGACAGGAAGTATAATAAGAAGAAAAAGAGATAAATTAGAGAGAATTTCTTTAGAGAATTTAGTGTTCTTTTGGGGGGAAAAAATTGAACTGAAATATTTTATGGAAAAAAAAAAAAAAAAAAAAAAATGCTAGTGAAAATACTTTCAAAGTAAATTTTATACTCTTCACCAAGAGGAAAAGTAAATAAATATACCATTTCCAAAAAAACCAGCAGTATGATTTTTCTTAAATTTGATCTCTATGTTAATGCTACCATTACATTCCATGTATATATAATTCTATTAATAACTCTTCTAGCAGCTTTTAAAAAGTACTAGAAATGAAATTTTAGATGTATTAAAAGAAAATTTCTCTGTTATTTGTTCTTTTGTTACCATGTTTTCCTTTTTGGTTAATCTTTCATAATCGAGGTGAGCGGCAAACTTAGCAAGAATTTTTAATTTGGCACAATTTTAATTTGATTGTGGTTTCTGGCTGTAAGGTTTCCTGTGGCAAACCTAGAATTTTATTTCGATGCTTGTAATGAGTGCGAGTTTAGTGTAACCAGAAGATTCTTTTTTTTAATTTAATTTTGAAATACTGTGTTTGTTTTTAAGAGTTTTACTGTTTAATATTTGCAGGAGGTTTAAGCTGTTGTAGTGGGTGAATGTTTGATTTCAGAGATTATCTATTATATTACTGTAAGAAAATAACATTTGATTATGCTCTTCAAGACAAGTTTTACTGACAACAGAAATTCACTGGTTATGAAAATAATCATTGTAATGTTCAAGACATTTTTTTTCATCAGAAATTAGAAAACAGAAGCATAACAGAAATATCTTTTTCCTATCAATAAAATTTTCTCAATCAAAAGCAATTTTGTACAGGTCTAATTGATAACTGAGCTGCTGGGAGATAAGATGTAAGTAGTTAATGGTAATTTCTAAATATCTGCAGCTTCACCAAAAAAGCATGAAAAAGTATTGATGAGGCAGTGCACCATGTTGCCCAAAAGTAACTCCCAATGTTGCCAAAAAGTAATTATATGGTAACCCAGGTATGTATGCAGCACCCCTCTCCAAATTGCTTTCCACTTCTTGGAATATTTTTGCCAGTGTGACTGCATATCCCTCCTATGAGAATTTTGGCATAACAGTAACCCAGGTATGTATGCAGCACCCCCTCCAAATTGCTTTCCACTTCTTAGAATATTTTTGCCAGTGTGACTGCATATCCCTCCTATGAGAATTTTGGCATAACGGTGGACCACATACTACAGTTTATGTCATCTTTGACAAACTTTCTGCACCCATGAACACAATGTAGTTTGCCTAAAAGCATCAAGTACCTCTTTTTCTTTCTCATTTTAAGATTCTGGTACTGAGACTGTATGTGCTGCCAAGCTTGTGCAATTCTCTAACCATTATTTGGTAAAAATATATAGGGTCATATAAAGAGTATCTGCGCTTTTTTGCCACTAGATGATGTTGACGCCTACATATCCAGCAACACTCATCCGATTGTCTCAAACGAACATGTGCTTAAAAGGTGATATTCAGCTTACATTGTTTGTGAAGATAGTTTTTTAAATTGCTGCTCATGTAAAAAGTTACATGAATTTGAAAATGAGTTAAATATCTAAAGAAATACACTATGTGATGCTTTATTATAAAAAGGTACAAATGCTGAAAAATCATGACGAAAAATTTATGAAGTGCACGGTGAGAATGCTGTGAATAAAACGAAGCACTCAGGAGTAGTTTGCTCTATTCCGTTCTGGAAGTTTCAATGTCAAAGATGCACCTCGCTTTGGTTGGCCAGTCACTGAAAAAGTCAATGAAATTTTTCAACTGATGGAGCAAGACCGGCACGCAAGCTGTCAGGAAATAATGGAGGCATATTCATCAACCACATGACAATTCAGAATCATTTGAAAAAAGCAGTTTACAAAAAGAAGCTCAATGTTTGGGATGCCACATGAATCAACGCAAAGAAATTTGATTGACCAAATTACCATCAGTGAAATGCTGCTGAAACGCAATGAAATCGAACCATTTTTGAAGTGAATCATTACAGGCAATGAAAAATGGGTTAAATATGAGAATATCAAATGCAAGTGATCATGGTCAAAGGCCAGTGACCCTCCACAAACAACTTCAAAGCCTGGATTGTTGCCAATAAAGTTATGTTGAGTGTTTGGTGGGATTGGAAAGGAATTGTCCATTATGAGCTGCTGCAACCTGGTGAAACCATCAATTTGGCTCTGTACTGTGCACAACTTGACCGTTTGAACGATGCAATCCAGAAAGAGCGACTAGAATTGGCCAACAGAAAGGGAGCTGTGTTCCATCACAACAATGTGTGGCCACACACATATTTGATGACATGGAACAAACTGACGGAGCTTGGTTGATTAGTTTTGATGAATCTGCGACACACAGAATTCCTTAACAGCATCCAAAAGCAATTTAAAATTTTCTAAACTAGAATCTGTATACTGCCATCTACACATAAATTCACAAAAGTAAAAATAAAAAATGTTCTCTGTACTGCTAGTGGCATTTCTTTTCAAAATCCATTTTTATTACACCCCACATATCTTCCATAGTGTTGATATGAGCTCCAGTTTCTAAATCCTTAAATCTCACTGTGTAATGTACTGAGTAGTGAAAGAAGCCATTTAAATCTTCATTTACATACCAGTTAATCAATGTTTTCTTTCCAGGGTTCGTACACATTTCCGCACACGGAAATTAAGTACTTTTAAGGAGCATTAATGAAAAAAATTAAGGACCTATGAGCAAATGGGAACTGAATATATTCAATTAAATATATTATTCTATGCTTAAATTTCACTTTTGTAATACCATCCTAAAAATAAAATAGATCCCTAAGTAGTATGCATTATTACTAAACAGGAATTAACTAACATAATGATTAATAAGTTTGAGAATAAAATAAACTTTATATAATTTATCAAGTAGGATTAAATATTTTACACTTATAATAGTTGGACATATTTGAAAGATGACATTTACTTACGTTTTACTAATAGTTAGCTTTATGTTGATTTTTTTATGTCTCATTTTGTTACATATTTAGTCAGTTTAGAGGTTTAGTAAATAGCAGGCAGATTTTATGTCAAACGGTATAGGTTAAAATGAGAAGTA